TTTCTCGGGTGGCGCTGGATTAATTTGGGTTGTGAGTTGTTATACCCACGCATTAGAAAATGACTAGTTTATAACTACAGTTTTCGAACGATCCTTAATGGCGTCGCCCGTTACTACTCACTTAATCCACGACCATGGTTACTCTTGATTTACGTCCCGAATCTGTTTACCTTGATTACTCGTAAGCCTAACAAATGAGGAAAAGGGGAGTACGAAGTCCTGTTATTTCCTTGAGTTATTTTAGGCTGTCAGGAATGCGAAAGGCACGTTGGCCCCACTCGCATTTGATTTCTTGACCTCACTAACGATACTAATGTGCCACTATGGCCCAATAGCACATCATAGCCATTGAAAGTCCTTTTACATGAAATCGGGTCATAGGAGGCCCAATAGCACATAAGCATATTCCCTTTGAGCCCAAAGATCATGTTAATGGGCTAGCAAGGCCCAAAAAGCATGATTTGAAACTTCCAAACCCAAAGTTTGTAAGTTTGCTCATCGTAGTTATCGCGTATTTATTTAGAGGGTTTTGTTCAACGCTTGTTGTTTTGTATTAATTTGAGACCGAATCACTTCGTTTGTAACGATATTTGTTGTTGAAAGTGTATTTGTTTTTCATATCGTCAGTAGTTGTGGGTTTTGTATTTTGTATTAATGAATTAATTTGTTTAAAAGTGGGATTTGACCTTTTCACTACCCTTATTTTATAAAAATAACACTTTTGGTCCTTTTATATAAAAGAATTTCATTTTTAGCCCTTAAAACATTTTCTTGACACTTTTGTATCATTCATTTGATGAAAACACAGTTTTAACCCAAAACTTATTTTGTGGACAACTTCAGCCCTCCCAGGATGGTGATTCTCGGTTAGAGCCTAATTTTTCACAACTTTTACAGTTTTGGCCCAAAATCTAAAAACTTTACATTTTTGGTCCTTTTTTATAGTGAAAGCATTTTTGACTCTTAAAATGAATTTGTTATGCTATTTACCCCCTGTTTTATCGAAAATTTCATTTTAGCCCCTAAAGTTTCTCATTTTTCGCATTTTGAGGCTTATTGGGCCGAAAAGCCCATAATTAGCCCATTAAGCTAAAAATTTACATTTTAAGTCCCTTGAAAATTTTATTATTCAGAAAAATGATTATAGAAACTGTTTTGAAACTTTTGAACCTTAAGAAACCATGACTTGTTGATTTGTAACCCAAGTTTTGTATTTTGACATTTTAAAACCCTAAAATGGGTTTTATGTTAGAATATGTTCATCATAACCTTATAAGCTATCATTCTTAACTTGTTTGGTGTAAAATAGCTTAGATTATGTTTGTTTCCTTTCTCATGCCATAGATCTCGGGTTTAAACCCCTTTTGTTAACATATTCATCACAAAAACATATGAAATCACACACACACATGCATAAAATCACACATAGCATACACATACACATAGATCTACACATTCTCTTGTATTCTCCCCATAAAACTCATGAAAACCAAAAAGAAAGGGGTATGAAACTCACCTTGAGTTGTAGTTTCGGTTTGTGAAGAAGATTGGGAGAAGTTTGGTGCTACTTTCGGCCCTAGCAAGTTTCTTGGATGGATCTCGAACTTAGGGTGTTCTAAGATGCAAGATCATGAACTTGAATGGATTAAGAGATGATTTTGATGAAAAGAAGTGAGTTAAAGCATGGATCATACATCAACTTACCTTGGATGATGATTTTTGTGGAAGAATCTCTTTGAAAGCCTCTTAGATCTCGAAATTTTGGAGAGAAATGGAGAGAACTTCTTGAGAGAATTTTTGGAGTGAAGTGTGGGTGTGTTTGTTTAGGTTCGGCCGAGAGGAAGAGAAGAAGAGAGAGGGTGATGGGATTGTTGCATGGAAGTATGAGAGCTTGAATGGAAATCCATTAGGTAAAAATGAGTTGGCACCACAAAGTCAACTCTTCCTCTCTTTGTGGGCTTGGGCCGAAAATGGAGAGGGAAAGAGAAAATTTTTGGGCTTTGAATGATTAAGCCCATTTTGAGCTTAAGTTAGGTGATTTTTGGCCCAAATAAATAAAAATATGATTTTTATGACCTATTAGGGCTAAATTAAATTGATTGTGACCCATTAAGGCCCATTTAAGTTAACCTAGTGTCTTTTGGGCTCCTAAGGCCCAAAAGTATTATGGTTCATGTATATGAGTCCAATTCGGGTCCATTGGAGAGCTCTAGGTTCAAGATAGTCAAGTTGGAAGCTTATTGGCCCATTAGGTCCAATAAGGAAATCCTAGTCCAGAATGGACTTAAACCGGGATTTCTATGGTTTCCAATTCTTTGTTGACTATTTGCAATACTTGTATGAAGTTTTTGATTGAAGTTTGTTGTTATTGGAAATAAACATCTTACATGCTTTCTCATTGTTGGTTCACATTTTTTATCATTGTTCCATGTTTACAAGGCATCGAATTTCCTAGTTGTGAAAGATTTTTTTTCGAGTTTTCAAAGTCACTTTCATAAAAACCATATAACAATCAGCCATTGTTTTCCCAAAATATCATAACAAATCATTATATAAAACATCACTCAAATCATAAAAATTCATAGGATGATGTGTACGATCAAGCCTTCGCCTTTCCCCGATCATCTGAAGTACCTAAAACATTGAAATCCACAACTGTAAGCCAAAACTTATTGAGTTCCACAAAATACTCCACACAAAAATACAATAACAATTACAATATATAGGGTTTATTGGCTCGTGGCCTCAACCCAGCCATCCAAGGTTTATTGGCATATTGACTCAACCCAACTATCCTGGGTTTGTTGGTCTGCCGCACGAAGCAATACCACCTCAACCCAGCCATCTTGGGTTTGTTGGCCTCCCGCCTCAACCTAACCACCAATTGTTGACATATGCAACAAATAAACAATAATCAGTAAGTACATGAAATCATACAAATCTATCAATCTAACAGGTCACTACAGCATAGCAACATCCTATATACCAGGATACATAACATAACCTAGTGGGTTGATATTGGTGCATCCGACCCACGAGTACAGTAAGGAAAACTCACCTCAAAGTCCAAAAGATAGTTGAATTGATCACTGCTCCAAATACTGGCTCTACAGGTCACCTATGCAACAAACAGGGACCAAGCATCAATCTATTACTAAAATTACACCATTTGACATAAAGTTAAACTTGGTCAATGGTTAAATGTCAACGTTCAAGGTCAAAATTTCTAAGGTCACTCGGTTAGTTATCACGTCGTGACCATCTACAGGTCACTTCATGACCTAATAAATCAAAATAATTGTAATTCTTCCATTGTCGTATCGTGACACCCAAGTTCTCACGTCGTGAGGGCGCTCTGGACAGAAACGAGCTATAAGCTCTTAATCCATTAAGCCTTGCAATTCAAACCTTCCAGAATACTTTCTCTACCCTAGAACACCAAAAAAATCATAGCTTTTTATACATGCATGTAGAGTGCATGTCCCGAACACAAGCTAGGGCAAAACAAGAAAAGAATGGGGTTAGAATCTCATGCGAGAGTCCTAAAACCTAACCATACTTCAAATCCAACACTTATATCATCAAAGGGACACTAGAGATCCTTAATGTTGACAACTTTATGGACCCTTATCACTATATCAAGCCTAAACATGAAAGATGGTGCATAAACACCTAGATCTAAGCTTATAGCCTCATAAATCATTGAACTTGGAAACTCAAAAGGGTCCAGAAGGTGTAAAAATGGATGATGGTGAAGCTTGAATGCTGAGTTGATGCACCAATCTCTATATTTCCTTCTTCTTGGCTAGAAAACACCCAAATCAAGCTCAACATCAACTATGGAGGATCGGGGTTTCAAGGGGGGGGGGGGGTGTTAGGAGGTGATGGAGGTTAAGGGTGGGCTAACCCTAGCCTTCACTACTTTTAAATATGAGAAAATCCATGGAATTAGGGTTTGGCTCGCAACAGGTCTTATGTCACGACCCTTAATTAGTCACGTCATGACTCCTAAAGATATGTGTATTTCTTCCAGCATGGTCATATCATAACACTTATGTGCTCATTTCGTGACTAGGTTTAAACTCCAAATAATTCGATTAGAGATTCAGAAAAAGTGTTTACCTAGAAGTAGGTGTTACAACATAGCATTCGTATTTATGCATGAGGAAAAAAATCAATTACACATGGGCATTAAATTGGTTAAAGTCAACATTGGGTGGATCGCTTTACCCTAAAGTTATCATCACATATATTGAATTAACATTAATGAAAGCATGCCATCAAGAAATTTAGTTTACACGTGGGCATTAAATTATTTAAAGTCAAAGATGATGAATTTAAGGGAGTCTATCAACCCATTAGAACTTTAGTTTTTGAACCCATTGTTTATAAAACTGCATGTAGTCGTCCAAGCTTGAAGTAGAAGCCTTTTTAAAGATAATCGGGTTGATACACCAATTAAAGATCTATGTGGATGTAGTTATTTAAACATGTCTAAACTTGGGTTATGTTTCATAGAGATTCACGAACCACTAAGACATAGTTCATATGTAGACTAAAAAGTATAATCATATTCATATATGATTCCAAATGTATTACAGCCTTACATTAAGCAAGTACACAATGTAAAAGATGATGGATAATGTGGATTCTTAGGGATCACTTCTTTTCTTGGTCTTCACAATGGTCGCAAAATCGATTTGATTTAATGGAAGATTTAGAAACACATACTATTGAATATGGCAATATGTTACCATTTCAACTGTATAACTCTTTGACTTTCTTTTGGGAATCTGCACTGCTTAAGAACTGGATGATTATGCATGATATGGGTGTCCTAATGGATTCAAGGTATAACATGATATTACATTGCTTTAGTAGAGGTGCCAATACAACATACTTACCTATTTGGTCTACTTCACCACGGATCTTAAATACTCGATGGATCTGGTTTAGATAGAGGGCACCGTCAGATCACTAAGGTTGAATTTTGTCCATGCTCAATAGGTGGGTTTTGCAGTCAAGCTTCCTTCTCCTTTTGCACTCAAGGGATAATCTTCGTCCGACTTGAGGAAACCTTTACATGCCTCCATTACCTTTTGGGAGGCCTACGCCCATATAAACCGTCTGCTTTAAGATTATCCCTTGGCTCGTACGTCCTGATACAAGGTTAGATTTCTAGCTCTTCCATAGTTGTATCTCAGTGATGGCTCAGACCTCCTATCTCTCAGGGAAGGAGGCCTCCTTCTCATTTCACCTAAGCTATATAAGAAAAACCCAAATCCAATCTTAGGGAACAATGAAGCTTCATAGGGTCTTTTGTCCAAGTGCAAGTAGTCTGTATCTTCACATACATGTCTATTTCACCGAGTCTGACTCCAAGATAATGCCTAGATCGTTATGCCTTTCGTACTAGTCAGAACTTACCCGATAAAGAATTTTTCTACCTTAGGACCATTATAGTTACACCCGTTGTTCACTGGGGCTTCTGTCGCTGGATTCCCTATCATCAGGTCATCAACTTCCTTGACTCTTTGTCATTGAGCAGGCATCAGCCCTATACATGGTATTACGACTTTACGAAAACCCATGTTTTTGGTAAATAGTCGCTTGAGCATGGTCACTACGACCTCCTTTGTGAGGAGGTACCCTTCTACCAAAGTTATGGGGCTATAATGACACTTCATCACTGATGCTTTCCACCATGTTACTAACCATGGCAGTTAATCTGTCTAAGGCAAGAACATGAATCGTGGGTTAGTGACTGATGGATAAACGTCCTAATTCGATGGTCATGTAATTGGGCGATGGATTTTTCATTCTTGGGGTAAATTAATATATAGATGATAACATTGTAAACCGTTTTCATAGATTAATATATTAGATAACAGTAAGTGAATATATCAAAACTACTATTAGTGGTCTACTTCACTCAAATGATTTAGGCATACTTTATATATCATTTCTATTCTATATGGTAAAGGTTAGTATCTAACAGAAAGAAACCCAACTAAACATGAGGTTTCCTAATTGCTCCTAAGTCCTAACAAGAAAGATAATGTCACACCAAATGTGCTATTAGAAGTGTATCCAAATAAAATGATAAATCTTAGGTATTACATATTAATACCACCTAATATTACCTTGGCGCCCAATGTATGAACTGAACAAAGAAGAAGAAAAGAACAAGAATGAGGAATTACTTGGTGAACTTTATTGTTGGAAAAAGATAACTAAAACATCCTAAACATTAATCTTATTTATACTAATAAAACTAGACTCCTACTCTAACACAAAAACTGCATAAAATGAATGTTTTCTATAATACCCCTATAATTAATATTATCTCAGATTTCCTCTTATGATAAAATGATTAAACTAACAATGACCCCATTAATCGGTTTGTCAATGCATATCACTTACAACTGTGTTTCTCCGCCATTAACCACTGACGAACACCACCACATTCAAAACCTTTGTTCACCGTCGACCTACTAGCTGTTTCACCTATAAAACCTATCGACAATAGTTGCTTTAAGCAACACCATGTTTAACATTTGAATATTGAGAGCCACCTACTATCATCATCATCGAACCATACACAATCTTGTTGTACCTTGTTCCAGCAACCTGTTTTACCAAGGCAACAACCACCACGATTCTTGAACTTTCCCAGACACTCGGCCTCCACCTCGGTCACGTCTAAAGTTCTCCATACCTTTTGATTGTTCACAAAACACATAGCATGCACCATGACATCCCGTTGGTTATGTTCATTACCATCTCGACTTTTCCCAGATTCACAACCTCTCCTCGGCCAGATCCACAACTATCCGATTTGAACTTCCACCGCCATAATGTTCACTATTAGGTCCGTTTATGGATCTATTACTGATAATCAAACAATAACGAAACAAGAATAACAAGAATAAGATGAATGAATTGAGCTTGCATACGATTAAACCCTTGAAATCGTCAGATACAACTCAAATACCAGCAGTAAACTTCTAAAGCGTCGAACCCCTCAAAAGACAAACTCGAAGACTATATATACTGACAAAGACTGCAAACATAGTTTGCTGCTGTAAACGTGTTTACGGTCGTAAACACCGCAAAACACAAAAACGACAAAAATACCATTACAAACATAAAACCAAACAAATCACATGCTAATCCTAGCCCAAACCATTTACATGACCTTTCAATCTCCCCCTTGGTTTGGAGCAGGCTTGGATTTAGTCTTTGTCAACAACCAACACATCGGATCTCCCCATAGCTCCATTCCATATTCTCTTGTCGATAATCGTAGCCACCATCCTTGTGTATTCCTTAGCAGCAGGCTCAAAAAGCTCATCAGCAACAACAATCTGATGACCTGCAAGCTGATGAATGTCTAGCTCACCAAACTGGAGTAGATCCCTTTTGTCATACAAGAAAATCCAATCTTCTTTGAGCTTGATAACAGCGACATCTGATGTTTCATCATACACCCAATAATGCATAGAGTGTAGAGATCCATCAGGACAATTTTTAGGAACAGGGATGTGTTTGACTTGAGTAGTGGCAGGCCACATCACTGCCCAGATAGGCTCGCTGGTTTCTTGATCCAAAACATGCTTGTGAACTGCAACAAAGGACTCCGTAGTTTTCATTGATGGAAATCCTTTAGCCACTTGATCTTCTAAGAAAGATTTGAATTGGCTGGCCTTGGGATTCTTTGACAGATTTGAGAAGGGAGCTTTAGATAGCTCAATGAGATCAACCTTAGTAAAGGAGTTGAAATCATGAGCATCCTTGTATAGTTCTTTATTCCCACTCTTCCTTCGTACCATGAACATATCCTGTGTATCATGAAATCCCCATGATATAATTCCTGACCTATCACCATATACGTCTCTGAAGGTTTGAGTGCTTAGGTTAGTGAAAGTTACTCAAGGTCTATCCCAAGGAGATTTATGATCCACACTTCTTTTAAAGAGCCATTTATTCTTGTCAGTGGACTTATCAGCAGCTTTCTTTCGTTTAGCTCCTTTTGCCTTCGCAGCTCTGTAGGCCTGTTCTGGATCCACTTCAAAAACGATCTACAATAATTGTGGATTTGATTGGTTGAGAAGAGATTGGAGCATCAACATGATGGGTATCTGGAATAGGGGATCAACATGAGATTCATCAGTAGTTATACTAAAATCATCACCAAACCTGCTCTCAAGCTTTTTCTGCAATTCAAGGAAACTTGCAGCCAGACGACCATATTGTGTCTGAAGTTCTGCAATTTGCTTTGTCTTCAGAGTATTTTGTTCATTTATATCGGCCATATGAATATTAAGCTCGGTATTCTCAGATTGAAGATCAGCAACCTTTATAACTAGCTCAATATTTCATTGATCAAGTTCAACATTTTTCTGCTTGATGGTGTCGAGTTGACTTTGAAGTCCATGGAGAGAGGGAAATTCACTTCTTGTATTGTCATCTTCAATAAAAATTCCCTTACTATGAGAAGGTTGTGTTGAAAATTGATCTTCAGTGAATATATGAGCAAGCTTGACTGAGACATCATCTTCGTTTGGTCTAGGAGATGAAGGACCTGCTTGAAACGAAGGACCACCAGCTTCAGAAACATCACTGGGGCCCTCACTAATAGGTTCGGTTGAGACAATAGCTGGTGTGATTGTTGGAGGAGCTGTTGCACTTGGTGTCATTGTGCTATGAGTTGCTAACCTCAGTACCAGTCTACAACGTTTGTTAGGAGGAGGAGTGATTTGAGAGGTGGCAAGATCTTATTCCATTGGCAATGATGTAGGTAGGCCAGCATCAAGGGGAGGAATCTCTGACACCGTCACCGTAGGAATTACAAATTCTACCACTGGATTTGAAGCAGGAGGAGAGACTGCAAAAACATCTTCTTCAATCCTTGTCTCAGTGGTCACACGAACCACTTCATTGACATCATCAAGCAAATTGTCAAGGTTCAACTCAGACAAAAATTCGTCATTTCCACCAAAGTTCTGTGGAATATCATCTCGATCAAATCCATATAAATCAACATTCTCATCTTCTTTGTCATCATTTCTCGATTCCTCATTGTACTCACTTTCAACTTGAACAGATTGCAGTTCAGGTTCATCATCAACTTGAGTCACTTGAGCAGGAGTCTCGTCATCTTCATGTTCGGAAGCAGTGATAATGAACTTAGAGGACACCTGCTCTGATGAGGTCGGTTTTGATTGAGTCTTTTCAGAAGTTTCATGGGATTCGGAAGACTCAATTATTTCAACAAATTGTCCGAACTTCATCAAGGGATGAAGACCTTGAAATACCACTTTCCCCTTTCTATTTTGTTTAATAAGGCCAACGGTGTGAGGGCCTAGGGACTTAGTATCCATCTTTTCACCAGACTTGACCATGTCCAGAAATTGATCGTCAATAAAAGCTTGAATGAATCGAGGATACATAAGAAAGGAGTCTCTGTTTCCCCGAGTCATGGCACCAATATTTACTAAGAACTCATCAAATATATACTTTGAAAAGTTGAATTTGTTACCGGATGCCAAAGATACTATTGCTCCTGTGTTCTGATTGAGATCTCATCTGCTCCCGATCTCCGTCCTGACACGCAACTAATAAAAACGTGAGCCAAAAAGCGCCAGTACGGAGGAAAGAGCTTCTTCACTGTAGGAGGATAAGATCCCTCATATCCCATTCTTTCAAGAATGTTTGGAATTTCCGCAGCATCGACTTCAGTTGGATAGTCAGAATCATCAATGTGTCTCTGATATATTGTTCTGAGATTCTGACATTGCAGTTTTGTACTACCACTTCAATATTCATTTCCTTGTTCTTCTCGACTACCTTGGTTGTCCTCCAAAATTCTTGAATCAGACTTCCATATATGACAGGATTTACTGTTATAGCATAGGCCAAACAACATTCACGAAGGCGATACATCATGGGCATGAAGTCTTTGTGAGCCTCTGGAGGATCGTCCGATACTATTGCAAGGTTGTGCATCTCAGCTGTTTTAAGGAAAGCCATTATCTGCACAAAACAAGCTAAGTAAGAAAACACGATATTTAAACTTGAAATGCTTAAAGTTTTCTTAAGCTTCATAAGCAACCAAGATAACATGGGTTTACGGTCAAAACCAATCAAACAGATGTTTACGATCAAACTAGGTCAACGGACCGTAAACAGGGTTTACGGTCGTAAGGTCAAATCTAGCTTACGGTCGTAAGACCAAGGGACCGTTTACGGTCGCAAAGGTCAAAACAAGGTTTACGGGCCATGAAGACAAAGCTGTTTACGGTCTATGAATTTACACTAAAAAAGGGTTTACGGCGTATGAGTTTACGGTCTATGAATATTCAAACACCATAAACTCCGACAGTCTTCAATCACAAAATTTGCCTATAATCCTAAGTCGATACGAACCAAAAATTACAAGTTCAGGATCGGAATTAACGTACCTTTGACAAAGAGTAAACGATTTTGAGAAATCTTACAGTTGATTTTCGAAGATTAGAGAGAGAGAGAAAACAGTTTGCGGTATATGAATGGGGACAGTAAAAAGAGTTTGCTGGGGTAAACTCTTCCTTTTATACCACATTGACTTTTCAAAGCCGCATACACTAAAAGATTTCCGGTCCAATTTCCAAACAAAATTTAAAATAAAACCTTTTGAGGATCATTAAAAATAAAATAAAATAAAATAAAAATAAAAAATAAAAATAAAATAAAAATAATAAAAATTAAAAATAAACTAAGATAAAGATCAACCTTTTTGACTTCATTTTGAGATACTAGGATCAAAGTTATTAGACAATCTTTATCCACTTGTCGGTACCTTTCATATTCACATATTTGTCTGGTCGATCGTCGGTATTGTGGTCCACTTAAACACGAAAAATTATGACAGATTTAGGACATACTATTTGTTACAAGACATGGTGAACTTAAAATCCTAAAATTTACATCTGATCCTAATTCCTTAAATACTATATCTTAAGGACCATTCATCTGACGACGACCAAGGATATTGTTGTCCACCTAAATTGAGCAGCGAGATCTATAGACAATCTATATGAGTTCAATTTTAAGTGTACTGGAATGTGTTTCCCGCTTCCTAATATGCCCCAGCCATCAAGAACTTCCAGAGTACTCCTTACATCGAGTGAGCAGACAACCATTCAGAAAGTGAATAGATTCATAATTCTATTACTTATTACTTCAGAGGGATTGAGAAGAAGAAGGTTGCATATGTTGTTTACCAGGTCGGATTAGAAGTCACACAAAGGAGACAACATATGGCTAACAGATAAGAGGAATTTCATGTATATAACTTGTAGAGAAATAGAGTTGCATATGTTGTGTACCAGGTCGGATTTGAGGTCACGAAAAGGAGACAACATATGACTAACAGATAGAAAGAAAGAAAACGATTTTCTACATACCTAATTTATCGGAATTTACCAGTTGCCCCATCCAGCCGGAATTAAGGACAGAATTCGCACATCGAGGAAAAGTTAAACCATGGTTCCAAGTACGGGTTCATTTAATGTGACGAGTGGATTCCCATATATATAGCTCCCTGATCAACCTATCCGAGCGTCGTATTGTCAGGCTAAACGAATCTAACTAGGTCAAACATTGTCAAGTCTATAAATTTCCTAAGTTCAACTCTGCCTAGTCAAGTCCATTTAGAATCTTTCGTGCCTACCGACGCATCAAACCAGAGCATATACCCTT